GCTCTGCTGGGTTTCATTCTTGCTTTGGTCTGATTCTTTCTTTCTATATTCCCATTCCTCCCTTTTGGAATGGTAAATTTTACCCTATACCAATGTGTATTGGAAGTATGTAACTTTTATAACTTGATTTTTACAGGAGCTCATAGTTAAGAACTTGCCTTGAATCTCAGGGTAGATTTTGGACTTGGATTTTTGTGCAATATTGAAACAGTTAAAACTCCAGGGACCCATTTTGCATTTTAAAACACATATAGCCTTTAGAATGCTATAGTCTGGATCCTGACTGTCTCCCTAAATGTCCATTGTTGAAGGCTTAGTCCCTCAGACTATGGTGTTGGTGGAAGATAGTAGACTCTTTAGGAGCTGGATCCTAGAGGAAGAAAGTTATGTCATTTGGGGTGTACCTTCAAAAACAATACTGAGACCCCAATCCCTCCTCTTCCTCTCTGCCTATTGGCTACTATGAGATAAGCAGTTTCCTTAACCACAAGTTCCTCTCATGATGTTCTATGCCTCCACAGGCCCAAAGCAATGAAGTAAGTCACCGGAATGAAACTTCCAAAATTGTGAGTCAAAATAAACCTTTCCTGCTTATAGGTTAATTATCTCAGGTATTTTGTCATAGTGATAGAAAGCTGACTAACACAACCATATCTTTATCTAATAGAGTACTCATTCATCTATTTAATGTTTACTTCTTTCTGCATCATGCTTTGTTTAGAAAACTGTTTATATAGGCTTTTTGGGGTCGGGGTCAGGGTCAGTGTCCTCCTCTTTGTATCTGGCACAATGATTTGGAAGCTATAAGATTAATAAAAGTAAAGTCTGATGTAGTACAATGAGAGATTGGGACAATGTCCACAAGTGTTTCAAGAAGCCAAAGATCAATGGCCAAACTGTGGAAAAAAAAAAGCTTAAACTCTCCATTTAATATACCAAAATGATAGAGGAACAGCTACAGGTAGACTATGTAGCTCTGTCTGCTAAGAGCAGATAACAATGTCACCCACAGGAGAATCATTTGTACTGCTAGATGCTTATCACTGTCACTGTGTTGGATTTTTAAGACAGTGACTCATTTCTTTGGACTGGATATTTCTTTATACTACATGGTAGCCTATATTTGGCTTAGAATATAAAGTTACAAAACTGTAACCTGTAGTAGAAAAATGCAAAGAATCTGAAATATAAAATACTAAAACATGCACAAATTTTAATAAGTCCTAAGATACAGAAATGGTCTTAATTTGCCAGTTATTTGTCTTTTTATCCAATTTACTCCCAAGTGAGATGTACAACAATAAAACAGAACTCTTATGAAGTAACGGGTAAGTGACATGTACCATTCATTCCAAACTCATCTGGAGTAAGGACAGTGAAGTGATATTCTACGATAATGTCCTCTGAGGTTGGTGAGAAAGAAAAGGAAGAGAAGAGAGAGCAAGGCATATTAGGTGGGTTTTTCTCACTGGAATAGAAGTGAAGGGGCAGTCCTTGGTACACAAGGATCAACCCTATAATCTGATTTTCTATTACATCATTTTATTTCTTTTATCTGAAGACAGTCCAGTTTAAAAAACTATCACCAAAACTGCTTTTTTAAAACAGCAAATATACTTGGGAGGAGTCATGTTTAAAGTTGTTATCCTGTAGCTTATACCATCCGGGACTCACCAATTAGGCGTTATACATTGGTTTAGGACTGGGGTTCTCATCTTGGGCACTACCAACATTCTGGGTTAAAGCATTTTTTGATGTAGGGGGTTGTCCTGTATATTGTAGGATGTTTAGCTATCAGTATCCCTGGAATTCAACTACTAAACACCAGTAGCATGCCCCAGGGAACAATCAGAAACATCTCTAGACATTGCCAAAAGTTCTTTGGAGTCAAAAGCCTACCTCCATCCCACTGAAAACCACTGGTCTAGGATACTCACATGGATCATCCCAACAAGTTTATGGGACTGGTTAAATATGAAATACATTTTCAGCTTTAGAAACTGAGACTCAAGGAAATAATGGTACAAGTTATAAATGGCAGAGCTTAAATGTTGCTCAACTGTAAAATCACTTGCCCTTTCAATTAGTTCTTTCTTCCTTGGAGCAAGGTTCAAAATTAGCTTGTAGTATAGAAATGGCTAGAGTAGGTCTCCCACTATTTGAACCTTGGGAATTTGAAAACTTTAAAAAATAAACTTTCTGGATTGTCCCTTTTTTTTCTTTTTTCTTTTTTTTAGAAAACCTCTGGCTCTTTAGATTTTAGAACTTTAAAACCATGAGAACTAAGTTACCTACTTTCTGCTAATTGTTTGGGTCTCCATTTCGATCTAGGTAAGGAAAAGATAAACTATCTCCCCTTTCTTACCTTCATCCTAACAGGAATGTTTTCTAGATAAACTAGAATCCTTTTTATAAAGTAAATATGCCAGCTGCTATATACCAACCCTGATAATTATTGGTATATATGAACACTTTTTGGAGTTAATTTTTAAATTATGCCCTAAGAACATAAAAACAATATTAAGTGACAATTAAAATGTAGAACTTGCCTTCCACATGGCAAATTATGTGTGACAATTATGTGTAATGCTTATTTTTAAATTCACTGTTGGGGCTTCTGAGGCAAACAGGACTCAAACACAGGCTCAATGTGTTGAAGTGGATGACTTGCTGACCAATCTACAGACCTGTAGTGAGCAATGATTCATGAATTTTGTGAAGCCACAGCAAGGACTCTATGTTACATAAACATAGGCTTTGTCCCCAGTCTTCTGTTCAACATTTAAAATCAATAATATGGGTGAAAAGCAAGGTAGACAATCTTCCCTAAAAGAAGGGATCCTTTTGACAGTTTACCTAACAAAAAAATAACCAGTACTATTACTGGACAAGAATACCCCTACATTGTAAGGAAGCTGGTTTCATTTCTGGTTATTTCAGCCAAAAGCTTGCAGAAATCTTAATATAGTGGAGCAACACAAAACTTGATTCCCTTCCAAATGAAAAAGTACTTTATTTATCTAGTACTCCACAAATGTGGTTATGTGTGGGAGAGTGAATAACACCAGCAGATTGGATTAGAAAAGGCAGCAGTCATATGGAACATTTAAAAACCCTGGATGTACTGTGGCAATTTCCAGAGTGCACTAACTTTACAAACCAATGGAAAAAAGTGGTTTCTGGAAAAGTCTGACATCCTAAGTTCATGGGCCTGCCTCGCTAACAGTTATTAAGTTATGTCCCAATTTTAAGCTAAACATTGCATATGTTTCATTTAATCTTCCCCAAAATGCAAGAATGAGACTTGATTCTATTATCATTCTCATTTTAAAAGTAAAGACAGAGAGGCTCAGAGAGGCTGAGTAATTGCACAAGATCATAAAACTAGCAAGTGGCAGAACTTAGATGAGAATCCAGGTAGTCTGAATGAAGAATGAAATAATTAAATGCATATAAAAGCATTCTGTAATCTGCAAATCTTCTCCCTTTCTTGATCCATGCAGTAAAGAAATGCTCTTGAAAAAAACTGAATGGGAGGCACATCCGATCTCTATATTCTATTAGGTATTACTTTTGTTAAATACAAAAGGCATGGTTTCGTAAATCAAACAGGTAGAACACATTTTCAACACAATTTTAAAAGAGGGCTTATTAACTAATGGAAACTAGATATGTATGACTTAAGACCAAAAGAAATTGACCTCCCCAACACAATTTTAAATCAGCTTTAAGACTAGTGTTGGGATAAATTCACTCCGAATTTAATACATCTGGGAAATCTGTCAGGGCCAAATGTACAGGAATGTAGCAAATACAAGTATCACTTCCTCCTCCCACCAGCCATGCATGTAGGCAGCATAGCGAATGACAGCTCAAGCGCCACCCTGGAGCAGGCTATCCACGGGTCTTTTCAGTCAGCCATTCCCTCTCACAGCACATTTGCTATTTTACTAGCATTTCATTCTGCCTGGTATCAAGAATTATCAGTTGCTTCCAATTTATATTTCTTGAACTCAGCAAATTCACATTGAACTCCAAACCCCTAAGGCAGGTATTCAGACTGCTGGCACTCAAAGCTTTCCTCTATGAACTTGTCAGTCTCAGTTCTAGTCCTGTGGTTGTAATTTCAGTCTACACTTCGGGGGAAACACACACCCAGGCACACTATAAAAAAAAAATTTAGTGTGGAAAACCTGATTAGGCCAATCTTCTTCCCCCTTCTTGATCCACGCGGTATAGAAATGCTCTTAAAAAAAAAAAAAAGACTGCATGGGAGGCACAAACGGAAATGAAAGAGGGAGACAAGTGCATGAGAACGCTGAAAACTCCACTTCTAACTGGGAACTACTTTTACCACTTGCTTCACAAACACTTTAGGCACTTCTTGCATCGCAGACAGTAAGTACTGTATCTTGTGACTGATCCTTTCTTGGAGTTAAACTCTGCACATACAATTTTTATGTATGCATATAGAAAAAAAATCTTCTAAACGCCACCTTGGGGCATGTGCTATTTACTTTTCAAATTCTGAACCCGGAGCGCGGGCGCTCCTCAGGACCAGGATAGGAAAAAGACAGGATCTCAAAATGGTACCAGAGCCCCCTATTAGCATCGCGGTCCAGAGCGTGCACCAGGTTGTGCAGGGCGCGGAAACGCGGGGCGAGGCTCCCAGCAGCCTTGCGCGGTCGGACTGCGCGCCCCACCGGGCTGCGAAGCGGATGGGCACGGCGGCGACGCGGTGCCATCGGGCCTCCTTCGCGGCCGGCATCCGCCCGTGTGAGGCCGCGGGCGGGGGCGGGCCCGCCTCTCCTCGGAAAGGCGCCCAGACGAACCCATACATCACTGCAGGCTCCGCTGGTCCCCCTAGGACGCGGCCTCCCCACCGCCGAGAACCGCGCAGGTGGCCTTTCCTCCCCGCCCCACGCCGAGTGCGCGCTGGGCTCCGGCGGGCGCTTGGCGCACAACCCCGCCTGGCAGCTGTACTCGGAATCACCCATTACCTTCCCCAAGCAAATGTGGCACGTGATGGGCAGAGTGAGAGACAAAGTAACGTTCTGCACGGTCTGAGCCATGGCAGCGTTCAGAATCCCGCCAACACGGAAGTCCCGCCGACTGCAGCTCCTCGCCGCGGCTGGGAACGCGCGAGGCCGGCTACGGCGGCTCGGCGGGGCCACGAAGCCCGCGGCGCAGACGGACGAAAACGCGCCGGGGGCTGCGCCCTCGCCGCGCAGGGCCCTGACCTTATCCAAGACACAAAAGCTTTTCTCGGTTCAGGAGTCCTGGGAAGGGGAAGGATGGTGGTTTACCAGCCATCGGGGACCTTAAAAATTTAGAAGAAAGTGCAGTAATGGAGGGAGGAGAGGAAGATACCGATAGAAGATTTTAAATCCCTACATCTTTCCCGGGGAAGTGGGATGGGGATGGGAGTTTTCTCCTAATGAGTAAACCCCATCCCCTCAGTGAAAATGCAGCACGGTCTAGACATGAAGAGAAAGCACGTTTTCTGTACGTTTTATTTTTTCAAAACAACTTTCCACCTCTGGAGTCCTTTTCTTCAGTGATACAATATGTTTTTCAGAAGACAGGATGATTTTTCTCCTTGTTTTATGTATCCACAGGTAATCTGAATACGTTTAATGGCAGCTCTCCTTAAAGACAGACTTTCACTGTCCCCCCCTTTCTGTGGTTTCTACAAAAAGGTGACTAAAGGATTCTAGCCAGCGATCTGATCCACACACATAAAGTGAGAAAGCTGCAAATGTGTGAGCCATCCACGGACACAGTGCATTTTATTGCCTACAGTTTCAGGTGTGTGGTTGGATATGAAGTGTTACCACTATGTTGTTGAACTCCACGGGAGAACTTGTGAGGTTATAAATTAACATCTCCTAACAGTTAAAAATCTAAATGTTTCTAAATGAAATTTAAATATAAGACATTTGGGATTTGCTTTAAGAACGTGATAAATTAGTTAGAATGTGATAGATTAAGAAAACAAATATAGTCTCTGTGTTAGAAGACTTAGAAGCAAGACCAAAGAAACAAGTTTTACTAATCTTTCTGAAAAAGAGACATACAGTACAATGGCAAGAAGCAGCGCCCTGGTTAAGAGAAAGGGTTTCTGGGCCTGAACTGGTGAAGAAATCACTGCCCTCAAACTCCCTAGGTTTCCTAGGTCTATGGCCTCAGGCAACTTACTTAATCTCTGCCCCTTAGCATCTTACTTGGGGTGTGTGTGTGTGTGTGTGTGTGTGTGTGTATTGAAGGAGGGCAATGTATATGCTTACCACTGTATTTATAAGAGAACCAGACAATAAGGTGATGGAAGAAGCTAGTAGTTAGGTTGAAGAAGACTTAGTCCAGTTAAAAATCACCTTACAAGTGGCAGTGAGAATTCTTCCCAAACAGTAACTTTATTTTTCAGGAATTGGAGGCCATGATATGCTTGGAATTAGAGAAATGGGCAAAGTAGTCATTCTGATTGTCTATTCAATAGCCACTTTTTCGGAGTGCCTGGCATCAGCGTATGGTTTCAGTATCTCCTGGTTACTTGAAGGCAGTCATATTTGTATGAAGTCCAGAATTCTCATGTTTAGGTAATGCATCCTTCAGAGTCATGGCTATGAAACCCAAGTTTCTTAATGACAAATCTCCATGGCCACGGCCACTGTCATTCAGTTATCCCCCCCACCCCCGCCACCCCTGCATCTTACTGTTTTCTTCCCTGTTCTCACCTTGCCCAGGGTTATATTTAACATGGTATTACATATAACTTACCTAGTATCTGCTGTAAGTATTCCACAAATAGTAATATTTCCCTTTATTGTAATCCTAAACTGTTTTATTTTAGGCAATGTCTTGTGTTTTTTAACCTCAAAATGCACACACCCATCCACATATATGTGCAAATAGTATTGCTCCAAATGCAGATTGATTAGGGTTCTTTCTAGATCCAGACTGATTCCAAGTCAGTTCCCAAACTTTGCTTATAATGAAGCAAGTGGTCTAAGGTTAACATCTGTCTCTTTGCTCTGCTCTATGAAGGACATTTCCCATTTTTTGACAAATCACATTGTAAATAGAGATTGTTGGCCCAAATTTTTAAAAGATTTATTACTTATAAAACAAAGATTACTCATTGACTTTCTGCTTAAATTCTTTTCACCTTTCAAGTAGACTTAACAGGAGCCCTGTGATCTGAGGAGTTTGGTTTCAGATGTACCTGTAAGAGGCTAAGGCCTCCTAAACCCTTAGAATTAAAAACCTATAGACCTAGAAAGGCTCTTAGGGGTTACTATTGAAGTCCTTTCCTTTACAGATGAGGAAGTTGAGATCTACATAAGGCAGACCTTCAAATAGTAGTAGAATTAGAGCTAAATTCTAGATCACACGTGATGGAATCTTTGAGATTGTTGGCCCAATGCCTTCATGTAAGTGTAAGATGTATTATTATTAATAAAGTAGTTTAGTAATAAAAAGTCAGTTATAATTGAGTTTCTTTGCTAAGAAAACCATCAAATAGCCATGGAACACCTTTTACCTCTTGTTTAAATCAGATTCATTTTTAATGATAAATTATTTAAACATAAGTTAAAAAATATAAAATCTTAAGTGCTATTAAAAATTGATCAGGAATGCATTATTCTTTCATTGACCCAGTTCAGATTGTTTTTAATTTTTTTTGGTCAAAGCTAATAAATTTGAGTAGATGTTTCAGACAGACGTTTTGTAATCATTTGGTCATCAGTCAATTAATCACAACTTCATTAATATTGATTTCAGATTACATTTCTTTTTCATTCCTGAGAGACAATTTTTTGTTTGTTTTAAATTTATAAACCTCCCACCTGGATTGTGGTTAAAATTGAGAAAACTCATAAAAATATTAAAAATTAATCAAGGGTGCTGGCCCAGTTGCATGGGTGTCATACGAGGTACCACCCTCTCACAGGCTGGGAATTCTGAGCTAAAATATCCCAAGATGGTGACAGAAAAGATGTTTTCTACTGAAGCAGAGGAACTTGGGTTTCTCTTCCACTGTCACTTTTGTTTTTATTTATTTTTAAATAAATTGATACATGTTATTCACTTTCATTGCATCACTGCATATTAATTTAATTCATGTTTATTAAAGACATTAAGGAGCAACTCACTCAAAGTTCTGTCTCATGGAGCTTACATTCCAGTGTGAAAGCTATGCTGCATGGGCTTGGAATGAAACCTGGTCTCTCAAGTAACTGTGGTTACTTCACATTCAACCTGTCCATCAAGTTCAAATGTAATTGCAATATAGTGATTTTATAATAAATCAGTGAAATTATTTTTTTATTTGCTCATTCCATTAGTGCTTAAATATTTTTTAATGTGCCAGGCCCTGTTCTAAGGGCTGGGTGTACAGCAGTCAATCACATAAACAAGATCATTAATGATTCTCAATGATGTACCAGCCCCTATACTATCAATGAGCAAATTTATAAATGAAAAAAACTGAGCCCAATTCCTCTATTCCATCCTAAAATGCCAATTTCTACAGCACTTTCTCTTTTGGATGCTCTTGGTTTGCCTCTGGCCATCATGACAGAGCAAGTTATAATTTTAAAATTTTTTAAATGTTGCAAATTGGGTGATTGTTTTAAATTAGGTCATTTTAAGAGAACATTTTAGTTCCACATAAGGCTAAAGATTGCTTATTATGTTTGTTGAATGCCAGGAATAAAGGAATATCACCTATGAGAACATTGTAACAAGAACCACCAAGAGGAAAGGTTATAGTTTTGCTAAAAACTAGCAGAAGAGGGAATACAGCTCTGAGGTATTGACTGCCTTTGACTTTGTTGTCCAACTGAGCACATTTATCTTTTTCTTGTCCTCATTTTAGGTATGAACAAAAGTGCCAAGTTGATGCTCCAAAGTAACCTAGAGCCAGGCCTATTTAAATAAAGAAAATGTTTTCATCCTGTTTACTAAGACTCTAAAAACAATTGTGTTGTATTTGAGGATACCCACAAAGGTATTCTGCACTTAGCCATGGAGTCCTCCAGCAGCTTGTAACACCTCTCATTGTTTCAGCAGCTGAGTCAGTTTTTATAAGTATGTGATAGCAAGTATGTAATTCCCCAGGTTGGGGAATCCTCAACTCCTTTGATCTTGGCTTGACTTTGTTTTTTCTCCCTCACATCATTCATTATGACTTGCATACACATTTTTTTTCTTTATTCATTTATTCATATCTGTATACATTGTTTGGGCCATTTCTCTCCCCTGCCCCCTGCGCCCTCCCACTCCCCACCACCCCCTCACTTCTAGGCAGAACCTGTTCTGCCCTTTTCTCCAATTTTGTTGAAGAATAGACATAAGCAATAATAAAAACATAGAGTTTTTGCTAGTTGAGATAAGGATAGCTACACAGAGAGATTCCTGTCATTGCTTCCATTCACTGGTGTATTACAACCCAAATTGATTCATCTCTATCAGACCTCTTCACTATTTCCCAGTCACCTTTCCATATTGATCTCTGTCGTTTTAAGGTTACTGTATTAGCTCCTCTGCAGTGGGCACAATTTTGGGTTTCCTGTCTTTCCCTAGTCCTCCTGTATGTGTCCTCCCCTTAGAGTGTGACCCATATCTAATAATATTACTGCATTTGTTTTAGATCTAAAATCCACATATGAGGGAGAACATACAATTTTTGGCTTTCTGAGCTTGGCTAACTTCGCTTAAGATGATGTTCTCCAGTTTCATCCATTTACTTGCAAATGATAAGATTTCATTCTTCATGGGCGAGTAAAACTCCATTGTTTATAAATACCACATTTTCTTAATCCATTTGTTGGCAGTAGGGCATCTTGGCTGTTTCCATAACTTGGCAATTGTGAATGGTGCTCCAATAAACATGGGTGTGCAGGTGCCTCTGGAGTAACTTGAGTCTCATTCCTTTGAGTATATCTCTAGGAGTGGGATTGCTGGATCATATGGCAGATCTATGTTTAGTTTTTTAAGAAGCCTCCATGTTGTTTTCCAGAGTGGTTGTACTAGCTTGCATTCCCACCAGCAGTGTATAAGGGTTCCTTTTTCCCCACTTCCTTGCCAACATTTGTTGTTGGTGTTATTTTTGATAATAGCTA